TTTCTTAAGCCCAGTACTCAGATCGACGAAAATCGTTTCGCCTATGAGAGAGAGCAAGGCGCAAATAACCGGCGGAAACTTTTCAACAGTTCCTTTTTGCACGTTGGAACTCAGATCGCCGGAAAAAATACTAGAATTGTGCAGAGCGTTGCCAGACGTCTGGGGTGAACTCTCGGTGAACGTTTGTCAGGCCCAAATGCGTTTTAATGCGCCACTGGAATCTGGCTTTTAGTAACGGGTATCTAATAGTCGGGAAAATAAACTATAGTGTTATTATACCCTTGCAGAGGGTATTATAATTTCAGTCAGAAGTTTGCAACGCAGTGAAGGAGACATCTCCGACCCTATAAAGTATATATATTCTTGATCAGCATCACTAGGCGAGTCGATCTAGCCATGTCCGTCTGTCCGTCTGTCCGTCCGTTTATATGCAAACTAGTCTCTCAGTTTTAAAGCTATCTGCATGAAACTTTCCCAAAAGTTGTCTTTCTATTGCAGGTAGTATATAAGTCGGAACGAGCCGGATCGGACGACTATAGCATATAGCTCCCATAGGAACAATCGGAAAAATAAATGAAAAAAAATTATAACTTTGCTGTTTTTTAATTTTTTGTTTAGTTCTTCGACATTTAGTAATGGTTAAATATTTCCGATTTACGGTTTAAATTTCATCAAAATCGGACGACTATAGCATATAGCTCCCATAGGAACAATCGGAAAAATAAATGAAAAAAATTATAACTTTGCTGTTTTTTAATTTTTTGTTTAGTTCTTCGACATTTAGTAATGGTTACATATTTCCGATTTACGGTTTAAATTTCATCAAAGTCGGACGACTATATCATATAGCTCCCATAGGAACAATCGGAAAAATAAATGAAAAAAAATTATAACTTTTCTGTTTTTTAATTTTTTGTTTAGTTCTTCGACATATAGCAATGGTTAAATATTTCAGAATTATGGTTTAAATTTTATCAAAATCGGACGTCTATATCATATAGCTCCCTTAGAAATAATAAAAATATATAAAATAACTATCAAATAATTGGGCTGCAAATCATCATAGCTTCAATGTTTTTAAACATATACGAAAGTAAATCATAATTTTAATGTTTTCAAAAATGTTTAATTCTTGCAATAGCTGCAAGGGTATATGAACTTCGGCTTGCCGAAGTTTGCTTTCTTTCTTGTTTTTTGCTTTGTTTATACCCTCGCAGAGGGTATTATAAGGAGACATTTCCGACCCTATAAAGTGTATATATTCTTGATCAGCATCACTATGTCCGTCTGTCCGTCCGTCTGTCCGTCCGTTTCTACGCAAACTAGTCTCTCAGTTTTAAATCTATCTGCATGAAACTTTCCCAAAAGTTGTCTTTTTATTGCAGGTAGTATATAAGTCGGAACGAGCCGGATCGGACGACTATAGCATAGAGCTACCATAGGAACAATCGGAGAAATATATAAAAAAAATTATAACTTTGCTGTTTTTTATTTTTTTTTTTTTAGTTCTTCGACATATAATAATGGTTTATTATTTCAGAATTACGGTTTAAATATCATCAAAATCGGACGACTATATCATATAGCTCTAATAGGAACAATCGGAAAAAAAATGAAAAAAATTATAACTTAGCCGTTTTTTAATTTTTTTTTTAGTTATTCGACGTATAGTATTGGTTAATTATTTCAAAATTACGGTTTAAATTTCATCAAAATTGGACGACTATATCATATAGCACCCATAGTTACAATCGGAAAAAAATATATAAAATAACTATCTAATATTTGAGCTGCAAATCATTATAGCTTCAATGTTTTTCAACATATACGCAATTAAATCATAATGTTAATATTTTCAAAAGTATTTAATTCTTACAATAGCTGCAAGGGTATATGAACTTCGGCTTGCCGAAGTTTGCTTTCTTTCTTGTTTTTTTTATTTATAATTATTAGTGTTCTATAAAGGTGTTATATACAGTAAGCAGGCCGAACAAAGCAAATTTTTAAGAACTTTTTCTGAAAAAACTTCAAAATTTATTTATCCTATATTTTGTACACATGATGTGTAATATTTTAACTGTATTTAAAGACTGAGTATTGGAAAAAATATTTATTTGGAAAGGAGCTACATCTACTCTCCGGGACCTCCTCTCAAAAAAGGGGTATTGAGGTGACCACTATATCTTTGGATTGTGACCTCAGACACTAAAATATCAAACTAATAATTAATCGAATGAGCAAGGAAAATAAAGTTTTTTGACAAAATGGTGGTTACCCAAGAAAAAATAAACTTTTGAGCAAAATTGCCGTCTTAAAAATAATTACTTATCGGAAAAAAAATCTTCGTTATATTACGACAAAATATATTTAAGAAGCTCAGCCGTTTTTAAGTTACGTTGGTCACCGACTTTGAAAACACAATTTTATGAAAGATGCGCTTAAGCCTTCTCTTAAGCACTATGAAGTCACTTTTAAAATTGGCGTGTACCTTCAAAAACATTCCCAGAACGTTAACCTCCCAAGCCCCCTTTCTCATTCAACTACGCCACTGGTTCACAGAAACAAAGATGGCCGCCATGTTAATTCAGATTCTTTCCCGCCAAGGCTTTAGAATTGCACCGAAAAAAAATTGGCTAAATATCGGCTAAAAACGTGCGGTTAGGAACGTTAATTCGAACGTTAATAACCGGGAATATTTTGGTGCGGCAAAACCTGACGGACCATCTTTGAAAGAGATGGTAAACGGTGGATGGCGCTCTGTGGGGCTAGGCCATTAACCTACAAAACCACTTACAGTTTTTTTTTTTTTAAGCCCAGTACTCAGATCGACAAAAACCGTTTTCGCCTATGAGAGAGAGCGAGGCACAAATAACCGGCGGACACTTTTCGACAGTTCCTTTTTGCACGTCGCAACTCAGATCGACGGAAAAAATACTATAAATGTGCAGAGCGTTGCCAGACGTCTGGGGTGAACTCTCCGTAAACGTTTGTCAGGCCCTGGCGAAATGAATACAGAATTGTATCTTTGGTGTTCTTGGATTTGAACTCTCAAGCGAAATTGAGGAAAAAACGACAAAAACACGAAAAAGCCGCGTGTCTGCCACCATTCTAATACCAAATTTAACTCTGGCGTCGTTTATATTCAACATCTTCGATTTTGCTTTTTAAAATTAATTTCTTTGTCAACAAGCTCAACTGATTGACAGAATGACCGAAGCACACGAACTCGGTGAATCTAAAAACTTCGGTCTCACTAGAAATCATAAAGTTTTTCCGCTGGCAAAACTGTTCCTCGATCTGAGTACTATGCTTAAGTTTCGGTTTTTGTTTTTAGTGCGTTGTGCTTTTATATGTTTTTATTCTTATACGTATATTTTCAGGTACCAATATTTATACTATACAAAATATATCATATTAAAACTGTTTTCCTATTGTGATGTTAAATATTTTTATTGTCCCATTTTAATTACTTAAAAAAACCTTTAACCCGAGTGAAAGCTTTGCAGATACAGCTTCGATACAGCTTGCTTGCCTCTTTTATTGTCACTTGAAACTTTAAACGCCTTTTTCTCGAAACTGTGTTTTAATGTTGCTCTGATAAACCGATCTCATTATAATTTACACAGGTCTTCGAGATATAATTTACAATGTTTTGAACAGGCGATTTTTTTTAATAAAAAAATTTTAAATAATAAAAACGTCGAGGAATTTTCACCACAACAAACACTTTTCGTAAAAATGTCTGTCAAAAATAATATTTTCACTTCTATTTTTCCTTAAGCCTAGTACTCAGATCGACAAACAGTTTCGCCCGCGAAAAAACTTTATTCTGTCTAGTGAGACCAAAGTTTTCAGATTCACCCGAGTTAGTGTGCTTCGGTCATTCTGTCAATCAGCTGAGCTTGTTGACAAACAAATTAATTTTAAAAAGCAAAATCAAAGATGTTGAATATAAACGACGCCAAAGTTAAATTTGGTATTAGAATGGTGGCAGACACGAGGCTTTTTCGTGTTTTTGTCGTTTTTTCTTATATTTCGCTTGCAAGTTCAAATCCAAGAACACCAAAGATACAATTTTGTCTTCATTTCGCCAGGGCCTGACAAACGTTCATCGAAAGTTCATCCTAGACATCTGGCAACGCTCTGCACATTTCTAGTATTTTTTCCGTCGATCTGAGTACCGGCGTGCAAAAGGTACTGTCGAAAAGTGTTCGCCAGTTATTTGCCTCTCGCTCTCTCTCAAGGCGTGTAACGGTTTTCGTCGATTTGAGTACTAGTCTATAGTTCACTACTAATTTTGTTTTAACAAACTTCGTTTGGCAAGACATGAAAAGAAGCAAACTTCGGCAAGTCCAAGCTTATATAGCATTGCAACTATTCTAAAAATTTCTCTCCCCTCTATCTCTAAAAACTCTATCCAAAAACTGTATGATCTATTTGGGTTTTTTTTTTTTTTTGTGTTTATGGTATGTTTTTATTTTTATTTATAATCGAGCTGACTTTAAAGTTTATAATGTTAGCTAATAAAAGCCATTTGGGTGGACTTGGTCCGTAAGAAAAGTATAGTTGTTTTCCTTTCCTTTAAATTTATTTATAAGTACAGAGACTTTTAAGTGACTTTTCGGGGCCGTCACTGAGAAAGCAAAAACGAGTCTTAAAAACAAATATTACAAAAATATATCTCGCAAAAAATCCGTTTTTGAGCTATCAAAAATGAAACTTTCACTGCCACAAACTGAGCGACTAGATATTTGTTTTCTTGTCGTTTTCGGATCGGAAAACACTTTAAGTCACGTTTAAGTCTCGCTTAACTTTCGTATGTACGTAAACTATTTCTGTTTTGAGAGGCTGCTTATACTGAATAGTTTAATTGCTGTTCGAAATATGCTTTGAGAGATGCAGCAGATCTGTTAAGTTACCAAAGCCAACTGTAATCTTTAATGAACTTTGTAGAAATTTAAGTGCCCTTCCCTTTGCTATTTATAAAGCTCCACGTAATATACATGTCCTCACCGCGCACAGAAATTGTAGATGCACGAATGTTTTATTTAACCGATAAATAAAAAGGTTTACAATTTATCGTTTTCTATGCATGTGTTCACGGTTCTTGCGCTTCCAGGCAGCACGCCTAGATCCACCAATTGTCTGGGAATATCTATATCCCTTGCCAATACCACGCGAACTCTTTCCGGCTGAAGTAAGACCTCTTAACTCGCGATGCTTGTGGACATGCTTGCAAATCCAGTTGATTTTTGGATCACGGCGAATAGCACTATGATGAGTATCAATTAAAATGACTTCAAAATACTTATAAGAAGCATCCTGCGCAATCCAATACGAGTTCAGAACTCGCAAACCACCAAGTCTACGGCCAACACGTTCCTAGAAATAAAAAAAAAAACAATTCTCAATTATACTTTGAATTCAATAAGGACCTCATGTTTCTCACGATTAGTTTCAGACATCTAAGGAAGGTACAAAGTCAACATAATTCTTATGTCAATATATGTTGTCATCAAGATTAAAATAAATATTATTATTTCGTTTTTCTTACCTCGGCAATGGATTGTAATCCACGGTAGGGTTTCAGTTGGTTTACACCATGACTCTTCGGCTTGCCGTAGGTGCAGCCTTTAGGCACTGGACGCTTGCGGCCACCGCGGCGGACACGAATCCTGTAGATTACAAAACCTTGCTTTGCCCGATATCCTAAACGCCTTGCCTTATCCGGTCGAGTAGGTCGGGGCGATCGATGTAGTTTGGTTAGTTGACGGTATTGCCAAACTCGAATACGCAACAAGTACCGCATAACATCACTCTGCTTTTTCCTATACAGTTCCTGCATGTACCGATAGGCCCCCATCTCCGCAAATTGATAGACCTAGTAACAAATTCATTCGTTATTTAATAACTGTCACATCATCGGTCCATCAACTCTTCCGACTGTACGCAGAAAGTACATTTCAGTATCTACAACACAGATTTACATATTAATACATATGCATGTACATATTAATATGAATGTGCACGGTAGTATAAAGAAATCTTATATTAAACACTTAATCGTGCATATCAGAAATCCATAATCAGCACTAAAAGTTTCAGAGTGGTGCATGGAGTATCATCATGGTATTAAACCGTGATAATAGTGTTTTTTACCGTGATAGTCGCTCAGCAACTAGTATATATTTACCACGCAGCTTAAGCGATCACTTTCAAAACCTTAGATTAGAACTCGAAATCAAGGCACAACCAACTTACAAGACGGTAAAATCCAAAAGGAGGAAGTAAGTAGTTGAAGCAGTTGACTAAACTGCACAGGGTTGCTCTGAAATTATATCAAGCACACCTATTTTCAAACTTAAATATTTGCAGATATGGCACAGTGGAATGGAACGTTCCTTAGGATATTTTTAAATAGTGGATTTGAGCCGTGGGAAACGGAGTTTCACACTTGCCAAAATCCCAAATGTTTTCCAACGGATGTGCTGTGTGTAATATAATATAGTGCCACAATTGCGGAAAGCAAATAATCTCTTTACTGCATGACGTCATGTGAAATCAAATTCTTTAGCGCCATCATTTCGGGGTTGAACGGAAAAAACATCAGCTAAGTATCGGCTAGAAACGTGCGGTTAGGAACGTTATTTCCACCCTCCAGCAATAACCGGAGGAGTGGTCCGGTTAAAGATTTGAAAAATAAGTTAAATTTAACTTTATATTCTTAAAATAGAGTTAGATCTAAGAAAATTGTTTTTTAAAACAAATTATACAGAGGAAAAGAAAAAAAGATTCCGGGCAAGTGTTGAACGACCGACAACGAGAGCTCAGAGATCGGAAGCCGGAACCGTCCACCAAAAAAGTGAGTCCGTTCCAATAAGAAAAAGAAAAATATATGTTAAAATAGGAAAAACAAAACGGGCCGGAAAATAAAATTGTTCTAAATAAGGACACCGCATCACACGGGCACCGAAAACTTTTGGGACAAATAAATAAATAAATATATATATATATATATATATATATATATATATATATATATATATATATATAAATATATATATATAAAATTAAAGCTCCAGTTAAATTCGTTAAATTTAAATTAAAACAAGGTCGAAAGAATAGCGAAAATATTATAAATTTAATTGTTTAGTTATCCACTTCCCAATTTATTCGAACTTTTGTTCCTAGTAATATATAAAATATTTATTTGTCCGCCCAATATAATTTTCATTCTTAATATGTTGATCTATTAATACCTATTTATATATATTTATTGACCCATACTTACATTTTGAATACTTAAAAACATATATTTATTTCTTAATATAATAATTAAGGGGATATAATATAATTAATTAAAAACTTAGGAATGTGAAAAAACTTCTAACTATAATTATATACACTTCACATAAAATAAAAAGCAAAATAAAAAAAACCGAATGAGAATAATATGCAAATTTGTGGAGGTCTCGCATCATTTTTGATACCAAGTGGAGATGTAAAATTAAATCTTTAAAATAATTCTTAATGGAATGCACAGATGTATGAATATCTTAATAATTTTCCTATACGCCCAGAGATATAAATATCTCAGAATTGACCCCTGGTTAGCTCCAAGTATGTGGGACGTCAACATCCGAAACTGAAATAAATAAAATTGTGAATTACACATTTATATATGTAAGTTAATTTCCAGGATAATTAAAACCGAAAAATAAGTTTTGAACGTTTTATTTCTTTGAAGTTCAATTTGAGATGACTTTATTCATTTCAAAATACCCTGATCTAAGCTGTGGGTTGGGGCAGCGACGTCGACGTCGCGGAAGAGACCGCGGCGGTGGCCTAGCTCTGAAGAAGTGGCTGAAACTACAAGGTTTGCAGAATTAGAATTCTGATATTGCGCTGTGGCTACTAACCGGATGCGTGTGTTTATTTTATTGAACTTGCGGGTTCTTGACCGTTGTATTGAAATGTTGCAATGTTGCCATCGACAATGTTGCAATATTTCTCGGAAAAATAAGAAATATTTCTGCGATCAACTCTCCCTCCTTAAAAACCTACTTGTCCTCAATAGGTGTTAGAAATAAGGAATATTATTAAATTCTGGAATTATTCTTTTAGGAATTGATATAATATTAGTTTTGTTGTTTAAAACTTGTGGTGCTGGTTCTTGGATATGTAGGATTACTTTTTCTTTTCTGTGGACACAGTTTTTTAATACGATCAAAGCAAGAACAATGGCGCAAATTAATGTAACTGTGGTTATTCGGTTTATTGTAGAATCATTCTGTAAGGTTTGTAAGTGCTTTCTATTTTTTATATGTAGAGCTTCTAATGCTTCTAATGACAGAATTTGTATGCGTTGTGCTTGCAATGGGGTAATTTGAATTCGTGGGATTCCGGGCTTCATAATTATTTTTTCTTTGTTTGTAAAACTTTTTTTTTATTTATATTTATAGTTTCGTTTAAAAATGTAATCATGAAAGTTCCTCTGAGTTGATGTGAAATATTGTTTGAATTTAGGCTGCCGTTCAAGTCATTTAAGAGTAGTATGCCATCGTCTATTTCCTCTATTGGTTCAATGTGGTCCGAGTTACTATAATCACACAGCGATTCCTTTCCCTGAGCTAATTTTGAAATACATTTTGAATTACTTAAATTAACAATTTTTATTTTTTTTTACACATTTTGACATAGTTTGAAGTTTTACAATCATGGGGTAGACCTAGCATTACATTGTTGGATACAAAAAGTTCATTAGTTTCTAAATGTATTATTAGTTGGTTTCTGATAACAGGCTTTAAAAGAAGATTTTCATAATTAGTTGGTTCGAGTTCAGGTATTTTTAATAAGTAAATTATAGTTGTTTTATTATGTAAGACAGACACATAAACAAATTCCAGCGTCTCCTCAATTGAAAACGAGGTAATGTTATTTTTCTGAGATATTTTACTTATTTCGTTAAGCTCAGGTTCGTTTAATAAAAGAGTATTAATTACGTAAATTTTGGCCCAGTGTATTGCAAATTTAATGTTTCCTATTGTAACGTACACACCTAGGTGTACGATACAATTTTTAGTAGTATATAAAGTTATAGGTGTAAGCGTCTTATCATGAATAATAAATATTAAGTTAATGGTATGTAAGGTTATAGGTGTAAGCGACCCATAATGAATAATAAATATTAAGTTGAAACTGAATATTAAGCAGTAGTTAAGTTAAGTTCCAAGCCCGAGTGGCAACGCCAGCCGATATTTAGTGAGTAAAGAAAATACTAGAAATTAAGAAATATACTAGAAATCCCGAAAGCGCGAAAAAGGGAGCGTGGGGAAGGTGGTCACACACCGATCGAGCGAGGGGTCTCTTGTGTCGGAATGGTAAGACGGGGCGGACGTGTCTCCCGCAGTAATTTTCCGTGTAATTCGTGACACGTGACAAATGAATAAGGGTCTCTCGTGCCGGAACAGAAAAACGGAGCGGACGTGTCTCCCGTAACGATCTTGCCGGATAATCCGAGTGACGCCTCGACCACGCGAAGGCACGCGGTCAGTGAATAAGTGGGCTGATTAGTGTTTTGAGGTTAGTGTACACAAAATTCCTCTCCGTTGAGTAAAGACGGTGTAGCGGACTCGTAGGAAGATAGTAGATAAATAAAAATATCCTAGAAAAATAATAAAGAGAAGTAAATGTGTTACGGAACTGCATCTTTCCCGGAGGGCAGCGCCGGCTAGCCACGGAGTCCCAGGGCGGAGTACCCCCTATGCCCTGCAGTCCGAACAATCGATTCCGACTCATCGGACGTCTCACGCCGATTTACCATCTCTACCACAAATCAAAACAAAACAAAATTATATTTACATCAAGCAACTAAGACAATTCGACAAAATTGGTGGCTTCGATGTCCTTGCCACGACGCACCCACCCAACCTTGGGTGCCCCAAGAAAGATGTGGGAGGCACACCCCATCTCCGGCAGACCGGAGTCTATTCCTGGTGGATTAGGATCGGCTCATCTCCCCGCCCAAGGTAATTCACACAACCATCTCGGTAGCTTGTTCACATTTAATTCTTGGCAAGATTAATAAGTAAATACATTCATTATTGATTCCTACTGAAAGGGGAAATTTTTAGACGCTTAAAGTTCCAAGTGTCAGGCAAAGTCGTCGCACGGCACTAAATTGGAGGCGTTTGCCAACCGGGTCGCCTAATCCTGAGGAGCTCCAAGGGAAAAGAAGGGAAGTGCTGATAAGGTAAGTACGCTAAACAAATCCCACAAGTTATTAAATTTCGCGACCCAATTTAGATGTGGTTGGACGCGCGGCTAGGGTTCGGGCTTGAGCCTCTAATTTTAGATTAGATTTCACAGTGAGTACTTGACAATCTTGACTGCATGATATCACAAAACAATAACTAAACTTATTTATTGCAGAGTTCAAGGTCGGATGTGGTTGAAACTGCAGCAAAAAAAACGCTGACGGCGAAAACCAGCGCGAGTCCGCGCGGAGCCAATTGGTCCGGAGGATAGCGCAACGTAGCCGGAGGCAGTGCGTCGGTGGACTTGGAGATGACCACGTGGCCAGCGCGGGCATTCGTTCCCGGAACGGACTCACCGAGGGAATCTCCGTATCTGGCCGTCTTGGCGGCAGTCGCTGTAGCTGCTGGCGCTTGAGGCTGCTGCTGCTGCTACTGATCGCTGCTGCTGCGGCTGATGCTGCAGCGGCTAATACTGCTGCGGCTGATGCTGCTGCGGCTGATGCTGCTGCGGCTAATGCTGCTGCGGCTGATGTTGCTGCTGCTGCGGCCGATGTTGCTGCTGCTGATGCTGCTGCGGCCAATGCTGCTGAGGCCAATGCTGTTGCGGCTAATGCTGCGGCGGCTGGTGGACGACGACCAGGTTAGGTCCGCCTGGTAAGTTTTCACTTCCCAAATCTTTTAAATTTCCGGGGCCCTTTAGTTAGGGTCCCCGGCGGCTTCAATATAAAAAAAAACACTTTAATTTACAAGTTCCGGACTAATAAATAACCACTCACTTTGCGTTATTCAAACACTAATCACGAACTTAAATTTTGGGTTTTTTTCCGACCGTTCTCCTACTACTTCTTGAAGCAACTAAAGCAAAACCCTGACCTACACCAAAGTCGCTCGCCATTTTCCCTCCCGCTCTCTCAAGATGGGTCAGCGAACGTATTCAAGGCCATCTAACCCAGTTAACGAGCGAACCGGGCTAAATTTAAATAGCTAGATCCTCTCCCGCTATCAATAGTCGGTGTCACCACCAAATCTTATCGAT